GTCCCGACGCCCACCTCCTCCTCCCTCCTCCTCCCTCCTCCTCCCTCCTCCACCCTCCTCCCTTCTCCTCCCTCCTCCTCCTCCTTCCTCCTCCTTTTCCTCCTTCTTCTCTTCGCTCGCCGCAAACCACCTACGCGCTCTATCACTTCAAACGGTATAACAGCAGTTGGCCCAATAGTTGTCGTCCGACAGTGGAAGTGGTCGAGCGATCGAGTGACCGACTCTAACGGAGCTCGAACGACTCCTGCACGGATCGTAATCTTGTGTGCAACGGTCGTCTCGGCCCAACCGTCGCGATTCTAAAATTCATTCTTCCCAATGAAAGGCGAGTGTCGTCGACGGGACATTGGCGGCGCCGGTGCTGGTTGGCGCGCTTGGACTCGCGATGGCCATTTTCCTCTCATCGTCGTTTAAAAGGCGCGGAAGATCGGTCGTTCGAACGATCGAACAGTTACGGGCTGGCTCGATCTCCTCCCATATATTAATCATTATCCGGATAGACGGCCGGACGGACGTTTTATTGGCTAGGCTCGTTGATCCAGTCCGAGCACCTCCGCGCGCCACCCAAGTATCTTCGAATTATCCGGTTTGCGGTGCGTGGGGGGGGGGGGGGGGGGTGGTGTTCGGCCCCGATTTTCTAACGACTTTGTCCGGCCTTATAACGCTATAATCGGTAACATATGGATCGAACGGGGGCCGGTTTCATCCATAATATTCATATTTGTAGAAGGGCTCCTCTCTCTCTTTCTATCTATCTATCTCTGGTTAGATTTGGTCGGGTATCAAACAGGGGATCATAATCGTAATGGGAGTGATAATGCCTTTAATATTGATAAGAGAGGTAAATTTTAATGGGTCGACGGTGCGCATGCGTGGTCGTTTAGTGATACGTCGACGGCTGACTGACTGGTTACGTTCGGTCGTTTATAATATAAACTCCGTTGGTAATGTTTCGTTCGTTGTTAGTTTTTTTTTTTTTTTTTTTTTTTTTTTTTTTTTTT